TAGAGATGGTGAAAAACACAACATAGTTAAGCCTACTTGACTTAAGTGCTTCACAAAAGTATACATGCCTTTAACTTTTCCTTATTTTGTCAGACCAGAAATTTCAACATATTTTATTGGGAATTTACGTGATAGACCTTTTATGTTTTAACTAGAATGACATTGGAACTACATCACGCAGCAATAGTATTTATGCCATATTATTTATAGTTGAATAATAAACTAATCTTCAACCTTTCAAGTTAATATTTTTAACTGTTAACTGTGTGAAAGAATTTAGAACTTCTATTATATTTAGTAAAACCTTTTAAAATAGCTTAATCTTTGGTGCATATCTACTTCCTTTTTAGAAAAATCTCTCAGGGTCTTCACAGAACAGCTAGATTGAGACTAAACTTTCCTACATTGACTCTAGTTTACTAAAATAGTAGGCAAGACTATACTAGAATACTAGAATTAAAACTTACAGTTAGATTGGTCCTAGAGTTATCCTTAGCTATCTCTATGCATAGTTATGCTGCTATATGCTTAGAATGCTGGAGGACATAGGGACCCCTTTTCATAATTCTTCTTCATTCTTCCTCAATCCTCCCATGCTGCACTATTTGTTAGGTTAACACACAATTCATACAACTCATCATAGTATCTTCAGCTGGGCCACTGTCAACGACCACTTTTCTTTTACTGTGACTAACTGTTTGTGCTCTTTTACTTTTTCTTACATGGGAACTGGCTTGTAGCTCATCTGCTAGGTTGTGTCTATTCTGCGAGGACTACCTGTGGAGCTAGTTAAAGGTCACGTTTTGTTTATCTGCTTACTTTTGTACGTCTAATTCTATCTCCTTAAACTCCAGTCAGCCTCTACAGATGGCCGCTCACACTGAGCCTGGCTCTACTGGAGGTTTCTTCCTGTTAAAGGACAGTGTTTTTCCTCCACTGTTGCTACATGCATGGTCAGTGTGAGGGACCAGCATGGTTTCCTTAAGTCAGGCTATTTCCCTTTTTGGGGCGACTTTCCAGTCGTGTGAGAATTTTCCGATCGGGCCGACTTTCAGCCTGATTGTGCGTCGTGTAGTGTACAGGGGGTAACGAGGGGCCATTAGCCTCTGACGAACAACCTCCCGATCAGGAATCATAAGGTCAGTCGGACCGTAATGGGCAAATCGCTCAGTGGGCACGCACAAACAAGGATTCTTCTTCTTCTTCCTCTTCTCAGATGAAAACACAGAAGCATGGCGGGGGTGCGATTGAAATGGAGTTCTTTCTGTAAAATTGACAGATACGTTGTCGCCTTTTCTTTTCAGCACAAAATTGCCCAAATTGCCAAGGCAGCACGTTTTACTCTAGTGAGCTTTATATTCCTCTTCTACTGGTTTGGCTTCCGGTAAGACGAGTCAGAGTAGCTCCATCTCACTGCGGAGCAGATGGTTTTTAGACGTACGTGGTTTCGTCATACAGTGTGAGCTCTAGCTGCGTGCAACAATTGAAAAAAATCGCATAGTGTAATGCCCAGCTTTAGATACAAACTTTGAACCAATCTAACTGTATGACTTGATTAAATTGTTTCTGTAAAGTGCTTTGAGATGACATGTGTAGTGAATTGTCGCTATATAGATAAAGTGAACTGAATTGAATATATATGTATATATATGATGATATAATTCCTCTAGATAGGTATATCCATTTAAATGAACAAAAACAGAATATTGGGATTTTTATAATAGAAAAACTAGAAAACTTCACGAGATCTCCTTACTATGCTGCGGCTCATACAGAGCAGCTGAATAATAGTCTCTTGGGTGGAGCGCTGCCACCTAGTGGCTGGGGTTTAAGAGTTATATAAAAGTAAATCAGTGACATGAATGTTCGCCTATAAATATTTTTGTTTGCATTTAAGATCTATTTTGTCGTACTTTGAATAAATAAAAATAATTGGTATTGGAAATATCTTATTTGAATGAATCAATTTTTGTTCTTACAACCCTACTAAACAATGATTTCTAAAAGAGGTTCGCTTCCCTGGATTTTTTTTTTTTTTTTTAGTATAACTTTTAAAAAGAGATTAAAAAAATGTTTTATATTTTATATTCTTCATCCATTATTTTCCTCCCACTTAGAACACACACTAATTTATGAAATTGAATCACATAAAATCCCAATAAAGAGTATGTTTTACAAAGTGACAGAAACTGGAAAAGGTTTGAGGGGTGCGGATATTTTTGCAAGGCACTCTAACTGGGGGGTTGTATTCTTTAAGTTATCTTTTTAATAAACAACCTCAGGCACTTATAAAGCATGCTGATTAACATCATCCATTCAATTGTGACACTTTAGTGGATACGCACTAATAATAAACAGTTGAATTAAACTACATCTGTCTTGGCTGCTGCTTATTAAAGGGAAAATAACGTGATATTAGAAAAAAGACAAAAAACATTAGTATAAGGTTCAAGCCTCCTATTATGAAAGTGTTTCTGTTTACGCAGACTTAAAATTCATTTTAGTAGAACACCAGGATAAAACCCAAATCTAAAATTGGAACCAGATATTTACACAAACTGTATATAAAGAGATACCTTTTTTCAGTGTTTGACAATAAAATAAAGAAAGGAAAATATTTGTATTTACTCTAAGCCAGATATAACATAGGAGACACACTAAGAGAATCTTTATTTTCAAATATATAATTTATCAGCTGAAAACATTTTCTTAACTGTATGCCTTGGGTCCAAAATGTTCCCTTTAAAACCAAATGTTTGCAGGTATTTCAGCCCATTTCTCCTTACAGAGCCAGGCGTAAGGTTTGTGAGCATCCACGGTCACACACGACTGATCTGCTCACATGTTTCGTAAGCAACTCGTGTCAGGGATTGTAATGGCTGCTGAAAATTATTTACGTTTTTGTCCTTAAATTACTTTTTTTTACCCCCAAATAACATATTGGGTAAGAGAAGGTGAAAACAAAAAAAAAAACAAGGTGTCTGACTTTCTAAATGTAAGTCAATAAACATAAATTATCTTAAGATTAGTATTGTTCCTTGTTGTTAATTCATGCATAAACATCACATCAGATGTAAGAATACAGGTTATAGTGTCATGATCTGGCCTGATTCCTCCATCTTAATTCTTTATTTCATTCACCTGCCATTTCCCTCCCTGTTGTAATTATCATTTATTGCATTCACTTGTTTCCTTTGCCTTATATTCGGTTGAGCCCGAATTATTTGTTTTGTTTCCTGTTAGTCTGTCTGTTCAGTCTTTCCAGTTAACTTCACGGTTAATGTCCTGGATCCTGGTGGCCAGAGGAAAGAGGGTTCTGTGTTTGTCTCTTCTCCTGATCGTGCACTATTCCTTACATGCGGAGTCCTCAGGGTTTTGGCTCGGGATGCGGGGAGGATCAGTTTTTAATCCTGTAAGCCTGGCTCCAAGGAGGAGACCAGTTTAAAGTTTCTGGCATCAAGTTCTGGTTCAACGTCCTGTCTCAGTTACCCTCAACCACTGAGCCTGCCCGTCTGCAGCTGAGCCTGTCTGCTTCTGTGCATGTCTGTGTGGGCACGTTTCTGCACCTCTCTGACTCTGAGCCTCCCTGGAAGCTCTGTGGATTCCTGGAAGTCTTATCCAGCTGTGGAAACCTCTGATAGAGCGGAGGTTTTCTGGATTCCTAAACTGCTCCTGCCTGCTCTGTCTTCCCCCGACATGGATCAGCCTCCAACATCTTCCACGGGGCTGCAGCATCTGGGACACTCTGGGCGACGCACGCCGCGTCCGGTTGTTAGCCCAGCGGCTGGATCGCACCCCTTTCTAGGGAGATGGACTGAACTGTGAAACCAGGTTAGTGACTCACTGAGTTTATCTTCTTCTGTCAGATGATCGTGGTAACTTACCTGTATTTTTCCCGCAACCAGTGTCTGAGATTGGGCGGTGCCCGCCCACCTCCTGCAGCAGCCAAGAGTCGCAGATCCACAGCAGGACGCTTCTGTTCTGTTTGTTTTGATTAACGTTTTGAACTTTCCTTCTGGCTGTCTTACCTTGAATAAAGGGGCCATCAGTCCTTTTTATGACAATTAGGAAGTATTCATTCAGTTTAGCCCTAAACATGCATTCAATTCCCTCATTGTGTGCCTCTGCCCCAGCCAATCGCCATCAAGTCCTCACTCCCCTTCAGCCCAACCATATTGTGAGGTTCTGCTTCAATCTCTCCAAACAGACTCTCTCCACTCTCCTGGTCTTCAGCTGGTCTTTAACACTACAGGTGAAATGTATTTTTCCAAGGCTAACTTTCATTTCTCAAGCTTGTTGCTATGACTGATTTAAAATCTATCGTTGAATCTCTTCCCTGGCCATCTCACCTTCTAAGATAAAATGTTGTAGCCCAGAGTTCAGCCCAGATCTCTCTTCAGACTTTGCTTCTACCCTGTGGAGTTTAATCTCCATCTCAACCCAGTCTTCTCATTTCCCTAGCATCCCCATCTCTGGGGAAACCCAAAAGGAAAGCATCGGTCTTCCCACTAAGCACCGCCTGGGTCATATCCTTCCTCTGCCCTGGTTCACGCATCCCAAGCCCATCCTCGTTCTACTACACCTGCTTCAGCCGCAGTTCCATCTTCTTTGACCAATTTCCTTCACCTCTTCACCCCCGACATCAGTCCCCTTTTCTCTAAACTTATCTCCGCCGCAGCTCTTTTCGCTCACCTGCAGCAATTCGTGGCTCCTGGCTCTGCCAAGCCTACACATTGTCTCTGCTCAGTACAGATCGTACCCTCTCTATGTCAGACAGGCACGCTCAGATGGTACGCTCTCTATATCTTGGCAGGCACGCTTAGATGGTATCCTCTATATGCCCTGGCAGGCACGCTCAGATGGTACGCTCTCTATGCCTTGGCAGGCACGCTCAGGTGGTACCCCCTCTATATGCCCTGGCAGGCACGCTCAGGTGGTACGCTCTCTATATCTTGGCAGGCACGCTCAGATGGTACCCTCTCTATGCCCTGGCAGGCACACTCAGATGGTACCCCCTCTATATGCCTGGGCAGGCACGCTCAGGTGGTTCGGCCGGTTCAATTGAAACTCGTAGTTGTAAATTTGTAACTTTACTTGTATATTTGTGATTCATTCTTCGTGATGTGATTTGTTCTTGTATTTTTTCCGTTCTAACTTTGTAACTTAAATTCGTAACTTCTAAACTTGAATGTTCAGATAAACCATCTGATGTTACATTTATAAGTTGACAACAAGAAACAAACAAAAAATGTCAAATATATTCATGTTATTGACTTACACTTACAGTTACATAACCCCATACTGGCTGCTTTGGGCCGTTTTATATTTAGACCAAATTGTGCTTTCACTTTATGTCTGATATCTGGAGCATCCGGTCATAATCATTTCCTAGTGATGGAAGCTGTTTTATGAAGCTCACCAATATTTCCAGCACTAAAAGACCCTTATGATACTAGAAACCGTAAACCTATCCTTCCCAGAGGTGAAGGTCATTTGGGATTAAAAGTTTCCCCTTCTGTTCAGGGGGGAAATGTTAAAAACTCAAGTCCTTCTCTGTACAATCACTTAATGTTGTACACTTTACAGTACTGAAACTGTCATCACTGGTTTCACTGTATGTTTAATTGTTGAAGGATGTAATAAATATTAAAACTGAAAAAAAAAGATGTTCTGAACACAAAAAAAGTTTCCCCTTCTTCCTTCAATTTTAACTTTGATCAGTATAGCCACACCATTCAGTTTTCATTATATAAGACTAAAGGACCAACAATAAAAATTAAGATCTTTGCCCCTGAGAAAATTTACAGATGGTGATCTTTCTTTGTTTGCTGTTGATGGCTTCTTCTTTGCTGACAGGCCAATGTGAACTTCTGAACATTTAGTAAAAGAAAATATGAAGGCAATCCTATGTGACATTAAATCAGGAAAGGTTTCTCTGATTTAATTTTTAAAAAGTATTTATTTATATACAGTAAATGTATATATCTGGTATCCGCTGTATTTCTTTTTCGATAATGGATCTTTGACAAGTTAGTAAACACCTTTATTTCCTAACAAAAAGCAGTGCAGATTTCAGTCCAAGCACTGAAGAACAGGATGGGATGCTGTGGCGTTAGATTTCCTTCTCACAAGCTTCCCGGCATTTAGTCTTAAATTTCTAAAGGTTTAGAATCAGGAATAAATTGCTGTTCAATTTTGAAGTAAGATTTGTGCAAAAGAGAAGAAAGATTTCTATGCCCCTTGGTAAGAGTAGCCACCCTCAGATACACTGATGCTCAGGAAAGTCACAGAAACGTATTGAACTGAAGCAGGGCATTTAAGTCTGCATGGATGCCCTAATCTCAGCCGCCCTCTGAGCTGCCATGGACTTCCTCCTCAGCACTGCCGCCACCCTGGCCTCAGCGATGCCGTGGAAGCTGTCCATCTCCTGGGAGTCTTCGCTGTTCTGTGACTTGGTGCTGTCCTGCGAGTCCGGCTTCTGCCTTAGGGCCCGGTTCTGCTCCTCCTTCAGCTCCACGTAGGATCGGGAGAAGGTGTGAAAGATGGAGGTGACGGGGAAGGCCATGAGGAGGATGCCGCTTAGGATGCTGCTGAGTGCCACCACCTGGCCCGGGATGCTCCTCGGGACCATGTCGCCATAGCCAACCGTCGTCATGGAGATCACAGCCCACCAGTAGCTGCCTGGGATGCTGGTGAATTCCTGCTTGGCGCCCAATTCGCTCTCGGCAAGGAACACCAGCGGCGAGAAGAGAGCCATGGCCACGCAGAGAAACAGTAGCAGCAGGCCAAACTCACGTGTGCACCTTTTCACCGTCAGGCCAAGCGTCTGGAGGCCCAGGGAGTGACGAGCCAACCTCATCACGTAGAAGATCCGTAGGGCTCGGAGAACCCGAAGAACCAAACCCACCTTCTCCAGGTAGTTGTTCCCGGAGCCTGCTGGCTTTTCTCCCACAGACAGAGAGTCTACGATGAGGGTGATGTAGTAGGGGAGGATGGCCACCACGTCGATGACGTTCAACGGCGTACGCAGGAACATGCACTTGCTCTGAGTCTGAATGAAGCGCAGAAGGAACTCCAGGGAGAACCAGGCGACGCAGACCGTTTCCAGAACGAAGATGTTATAGCACCTCTGGGAGCACTCCCCCTGCAGACAGACGGAGAGAACAAACGCAGAAAAAAGGTCCAAGTGAAACATTTTTACAGAGAATGGTCTTTTTTTTTACTGCATCTAAAAGGGATTTATCGAAAATACTTATTTACAGTAAAATGACAGATGTTTTAGAAACTTTTCATAAACTGAAAAGCAGCCTGGATGATTTATCAAATTACATCAACGAGTCTTTTATGAAATTAATTTTGTTTCTTTTTGTTCTTATTGTTGCAAGCTGAGAACACATTCTGCAAACGGAAATTAAAAAAACAAAACACCTTTTGTGAATTTGAATATTGAAAAAATGCAATATAGAAAAATGTTTTAATAGAAAATGGTTTTGCGTAGCTTCTCAGATTTAGATTTTTAAAAAAATTCACATTTTTCAAATGTTTTTTTTCTACATAATTATTAATTATTCAAAATTATTCTTGCATGTTTTATAATTTCAATATTTTTTCAAACTTATCCTTTTCAGACTGAGTTTTAAAAATCATATTCTTCTTAAATTGCATTTCACAGATCACATTCTCTTTACTTCGAGCCCAATACAAACCACGCTTTTGATTCCCACTTTGACCAATAAAAATATTGCTTCTAACATCATTGCAGACCAATAAAAAAGCATCTTCAATTCTCACTCCAGAGGAAAGCCCTCCCCCACAAGTAAAGAGAATTTAATTTGGAAAAAACAATTTGAAAAGAATGCAATTCATAAAACTCAATATAAAATATATATATATATATATATATATATATATATATATATATATATATATATATATATATA